CTATTGTCTGATATTTTAACTCTTACGATTGGAGAATGACTCTACTGAACAACATGCTTTATATTGAAACCTGAGCATGAAAAATATTCATAACAAATTTTAAGTCCGATGTACCAGAAAACGTTTTCAAGGCTTAATCACGCCTTCAAAAGAGGCAGATGGACATTGATGTGATTCTCGTGACTGAACTTCCCAAGACACGACAAAGGGCATAACAAAATTCTTATACCTTTGCCTTTGCAGTTAAATTAGGCATAGTGAAATCTTTAAATGTGAGGTTATGGGCACTTTGTTTGACTTTTCAAAATTGCTGCATCTGCTTTTGTGCCGTTTTTTGAAAAAGTTCTTTTTTTGTTCTTTTTTAGTTAAAACTTTGCAGACATTTTAAAGTTGGTTTTTTTCCCCCCGTTTAATTTTATATAATAATAACGATAAAACAAGAGAGAGAGTTAAGAAAAAAAAATATATATATATTTTGCAAGCAGCCATGACGATTAAACTTTTGTATATTTAGAAAAAAAAAAAAAAAAAAAAAAAAAAAAAAAAAAAAACGAATTCAAAACCTAAACTTGAAAACGATTCAATTACAATGAAATCGTTGAAATATTATGGAAATTTCTATTTCAGAAAATTTCATTTAATTTGCATTCATTTAAAAACTTTTATTGCATTTTATAGTTAGCTAGCGTTGAATTTTATCACGTTTGGTGTTCCTGGGGCGGTAATAAAACAATAAAAATCATGCACAGCAATCAGGCCTACTCTTAAACGAGAATAAATTGACAGATATGTTTATATTGTATGCATGGATTAAATATCTATAGGCGGTTACAAATACAATTAAATTGACAAACTGTGCCATAAATTCTAAAATAATCAAATAAATAAAATAACAAGTAAGTGCTTTGATCGTTTCGAGGACTTATTTATAATACTTTGCAAGACTTGCAGATTTATTTTTATGAATCAACGGTTTTCGCTATTACGGAGAGAGTGTATGGCAAAATCAGTTCTGCTTAAACACTGCTCTGGATAGCTCAAGCAAGGAATCTTAAGATATAAGATAAATTAAGTCGTAGAAAAAGGACTTGAATCTGTTCTCAGAGTGATATTTGCGGTTGGTATTGAGATTTTTCCGGGCTTTGTTTTTCGTATCATCTTTTCGTATCGCAGAGGCTTACATACCGTTAGAATCATAAATCACATCTAATTTTCATATTTCTCAAGTCCTAGATTGTCTCAAGAACTGCCCTTGTGGCAGACTCACTCCCATTTCTGTCAATGTGTTTGCGAGTGAAATAAATTTACAGACGAACTGTTACACCCATTCGCCTTCATTCATATGCATGCCAAACTGTTGTCTAAGCAGTAGCACCCTTTGGCTTTTGACACGCTTCGTTAGATATTTCACACTATGGACGTGGAATAGGAAACCTGCCTGAGCAAAATGCACAAGATAATTATGGCGTTATTTTTCTCATAAGTCCTTTCTCAAGCTTCGTCATTTTTTTTCCGAATATCTCCAGCGATAAAGTCCCCCTCATTTCTGAAACCCTAACACACTTTTTAGTTTGCAGACCCAAAGAACCGCCACTGGACTCCCTCAATCTCTCAATATTAAATAATAATAATGACTTTGAGACAAATACATTTGTCCCATGACACAAATTAATGAAAGTTTTCCAGTCCTGGAGCCCGCAACGATCTAAAATGTTTACTCTCAACCGCTATAAAGAAGCCCTTCCGCTGTATTGGTAGATTAAAGTGATTGGATCGAGATCGTCTCTAATGCTTGCTATTTAGTAGCTTAGGAGAGACGATCGAAGGTTCTTTTTGCTTAAATATAGCTAATCAGTCAATAAATGGGAAAAGAAATGGGGAGCTTCCCCAACGTAGTGGGAGATGCCTAATCGGTTATTGTTACCGGCTTTACCGATTGAGCAATGGCTCTTCCCTCTCAACATCCACTACATCTACGATCAAGAACCGTTCTGCTGCTTAGATACGTGAACCCACGTACAACCTATGGGCAGCGAATTACGGCTTTGCGCCGGCCTAATTATTTAACGAGGTGACCAAGTCTTATAAAAAGCATTCATTCTAGGAGTTAATGCGACTCACAAAAACATTTCTTATTGTAGTGACTGAGCATTCGAATCCTTTGGAAAAATCTTTTTCTGTTGATCAAGAGATATTCTCCTCCCACAGCGATAAGAAAACTTAATATTTTATTTCTAATCAATCATAGTAAAGTAATCGGATGTCTCTATATCGGGAATTTTGGTTCTCTTGTACCTCACACAAGATATTCAAAGATGCGACGCGACCAATATTTTTCATTTAGCCCTAATAATTCTGAAGTTTCCGAACCACAACAGTAGATAAGTTATGAGGTCTCTTCAAGATGAGTCCTGGGACCCACCTATTTAATGTTCATGGGATGGGGTAATAAAGACGGCACTATCAAGGCATTTGCCAACTGTTGGCACGTAGCTTGATCGCATGATGCTAGAATTTATTTTACAGAGCCTTCAATTGTATTTTAGGCATACCTACTGGCTGCCTTTTCTTCGAGGATATATCGCCGTCGACCAACTTATATCAAGCTTTCAGACCAGTTACTACTTCACAGCTAGGTAATGCGAGAAAATAGCGAGAGTAATTTATGCGATGTGTTAGTAGCGTCCATATTGAGAAAAGAAAACTTTTTTTTTTTTTTTTTAATCTTCATACCTTTTACACCCCTCGACTTATCGATGCAAGAACTTTGCGCCGAGAATAACTAGGCTGTATCTACAGAATCCTTGAAGAAAGACATAGGTGGATAAGGATAGCAGTTAACTTCTTAATATATGTTGATATTAAGACAAATAATTGTTTTAAAAAAAGGGCATTTTTTGGATTTTTCAGTGAAAGGCACAGCCACCTGGAGTAACTAAGGCAAATCTGCAGAATTATGAGGTAATCAATGTATTTAAATTGATTTGTATTACATGAGGAGATGAAGCATATAACAAACTAGAACGAAACAACTGATGATCGAACTGGATCTTTATACGACCTCGTTAATCGGGAAATTGATTGATGATACCTGCCAGCTTATATAGCTGAAGGTAATGTAAGGCGATGGCCTATCTTGAGTTATCATAGGATTACGTACTTATATAATTTGATCGCCAAAGATTAAGCTATACGACAGTGCTCTATTTGATATATAGGTCTGTGCACTTTTTGACTTGAATTTAAAGAAAATATTTTAGAAATTTTTCCATTTAAAGCCAAGAACTTTAAGTTAAATGTTTGTGGCTTTAAGATAATATAAATCCGTATATTCCTTCCCTTCATACGATTTATGGTACCGTATTCAAAACGTTTGGGACTAATTAAGTTTTTTCCTTTTTTGTTTTATGCGCAGTGTTTTTTTTCTTTTTTTTTTTTTTTTTCTTATAAGAACGATACTCTTTGAGTCAATGCTCTTTGTAATGCCGAACGTGTGTGAGAATACAATTGATTTACATACTTATTGCTACAAATAACTACCAATTAGTGACAAGCGGAAGGCAATTATATCACTAAATGGAGGGGAACTCTGAAACATCACCAGCGTCGTTATCAATACTGTTAGCATTTGTTGTTGATGTTGTCGTTTTTTGTTATGTTTACTGTTTGATTATACCCACTGTGCTAAGGTTTTCTACTATCCCGTTGTGTTAATTTGCTATTGTGTTATTATATAAAAGTCTTTATTAATTTTCTCGTGCACGCTGACATAGAATGGCGTACAGTTCAATATGATGATTGTTTAATGCAATAAAGGGAAATATTTCATAAGCAGCGATGTAAGAGAGCACGACCTCGTTTTTTTCTTTTTTTTTTTCTAAAACTGAAACGTTGTTCTTATGCTTGTTCACGTTAGTGCAGGCCTCTTTGAAAGCATTGTCAAGTGTTATAGCGGGTGCTTATGAAATTGCAACAATTTTCCGCCTAATCAACATTGAATCTGTTAAACAGATAACGTTTTAGTAACATATGCACATTCGTACATATTTTACAGCGATTTGTATCTTAACAGCAGAAAATAAGCGATTGAATAAGTGATAAAAAGTGCAAAACAAAACAAAAACAAAACAAAAAACAAAAAAAGAAAGAAAAATAAGTGGCTTGGGAATAGTGACTGAGGTAATGAGTTTGATGTAAAAGAATTAAAAAGCAGATCACAAGAGTGCTGTTGCGGCAGTGTGCTTTACTATCGTCAACACAGAAATGCACAGTTGAAAAAAAAAGTAAAAAAATAAAAATAAAACGACAACACGGTTACACTACAGAAGAGTGCGAACACATAATGTCATTGCAATTAAATCAACAAATGTATTATCGGCAGTAACAGCAATGAAGATAACAATGAAAAAAACAAAAAAAAAAAAAAAAAGAAAATGAAAATGAAAAACAACAAAAAAATATTAAAAACAATTATCAGCGAACTGCTGCCTGCAGACAGGATAAAATCATTTATTTGCCAAAGAGTTGGCAAAAAAAAAAAAAAAAAAAAAAAAAGAGAAAAGAGAAAAATAATGTGGGCTCTTTGTTCGGTCCATTTCTATTTAGTTATACTGGCAACATCCGTTCCTCCCCTTTTGCCAACCATTTACTTAACACTCTGTGTGTGTGTATGTGTATGTGCGTGCATATTTGTGTATTTCTCTCCAATCAAGAGAGATTTATGTGTCTAATTGTAAATACGATTTAAAGTATTAAAGCGTATACGCATACACATATACACATACACTTTATAAAGGATAATATCAGGATTAGAAATTAATTATGCGCATGCATGCAATAAAGTGGTTATGATGAATTTATTAAAATCTCTTTATATTAACGCATGACGCATAAGTAGAGATTTAATAGAGCGGAAACAAATATATTTCATTTTAGAAACGAATACTAAAATACTTAAATTTTGTTTTTTTTTTTTTTCAATAATAATAATATTTACTTACATAGAACGTTTACGGTATAGGTGGAAACTACATTTTCGGTTAATTGCATATTAAGACCGTGGCATATAACAACCAAGGAACGTTTATTTGGCTCAATGACAGCCGTTATATTTGATATCGTTATCCAGCCACCTGCATAAATATGAAATAAACCATAAAGTGTACAGAAAAGAAAGGATTAAACCTTGAAATAAATTAAATAGAAAAAATTATTGATTAAAATTTTATATAGATTCACCTTCAGGACTAACACTGGTACGGGAGGTTGCATTGCGTATTTGTCGGCCGCCAACCATCCATTTGACTTCTGCTGGCGGATTAGATGGTGCCGTAGAACAAGTAAGTGGCACCACATCTCCGACGCGAGCTTGTGTGGGCCCAGAAATGGTTACATGAGTCGGAGCAACTGTAAAAACGGAAAAACGTTATAAATTTTAACTTATTTAATACAAGTTTCACTTATTTATTTATTTATTAATTCATTTTAATAACTAACCAATTTGCAATTAAAATTATAAGCTAATTAAAATTGACGACTGTAGCTGCAAGGCCTTTAAGCCTCTTACAAATTAAACGCTTTTCTTAATTACGTAGATAGTTTTGTAAGAGGATGCAAGTATAAGGCGATTTAACATCTGAAGAAATAATAAAATATGACTTAAGTGTTTAGAATGATTCGTTGTAACCAAGGCATTCTTAAGCTTCGAAATAATGCAAGAGGTGGGTTTCTCAATTATGGAAGAACAGGACCAATAAATATTTTTATCAATCTTCTTTTAATGAGTGATTTTAATCTATCCTAAACGTAATTTACTTAATTTAGTTAAGATAACAGATATGCAAGAATGAGTAACTGGTAGTATCAGCTTATTTGTTGACTCCTTCCGGAAGTTTGATTATAAAAGTGACCATATTTTTAATGGACAAGCACGGCATATATGAAACGCTTATTATTTGATATCATAATACGGCGAATGTCGGTTCAAGTCTAAAACATGCCTTTCAATTACTCCATCCAGGTTTTTTTCTTAAGCAATTAGAAAATTAAGCGAGATGTTAGGAGCGCACAAGCGTTTCACGGGTTAAGTCCTTAAATTGATATATCTACAATGTATTGTCATAACTGGCTTCGTTAAATAAGCTTTTTTGAACTAGTCATGATCGGGATAAGCATTTCTCGTATCAGCTGATGACACGCGCCATACACACTTTGCAATATTATGCCGTATTGGATACTGTGATACATTGTGACGTGTCCATGCTGAAATCCTATTTTCGGAGTGTTCAAAAAGATATTACTTATCTCGCTGAAGTGCTTCTAAACTTTGGTTAAGTCCATGGTGCAAGTTTTCTGTATTAATTCATAGAACGGTGCTGATGGGTAATGAAGAGCGATAGAAATTCGACTCGATCCCATATCTGAAACGCGAAAATCGGCGATGTAATCAAGCGAACTATTAACATCAACGATAGTATACGTTTTTGAGGACGAACTAATAACAGTTACCAGGAAGTGCCAACAATATTATGTAATGAAATAATAGATAAAGAAAGCAAGTAAGAAGCTCATTGAATAGCTTACACTAACATAGAGTTATTCATGAAACGCTTTCTCAAAATGAGGTGTTATGCAGGATGAGGTCGAAAAATTGGTCCGGTTAGAACCATTTCCAGCAGTGTTCGTCCTTCGAATTTTATCAAAACATCTAAAAAACTACGATCTATAGGTTGAACATAGGAAAACAAGACAGACAGACAGACGGACGGACAAGGTCTATCTTATGTCTTTCTGGGTATTGTATATATCCGCACAAACTTAATATAGACTTTCATCATAATAGGAGCGTGTATACTGGTCGACTTCTCGTCATGACGACGTGTATCCTTGCATTGCACATCCGGAGACGTGCTAATACACTCGTGCAAATTGCAAGATTTCTAGCAAAAAGATTTAATGAAAAGGCGCTTCCTAGTAAATATACGTAACACAAAATCTTGGGGTGGCATACATGTAGACACTCTTCTCATTCTTCTTCTTCTTCTTCTTCTATTCAGCAAATCAACAACCGCAAGTGCGCTGTCATGTGTCAAAAAGAAAGTCATAGATTGCTAAAGGAAATTTGCCAGGGTTGCAGTTCAACACTTTTACTCATTCGTTATGTCGTTTTTACATAGATTTCGAAGCAACATATCTATATGTATAAAATTTTCTATCACTCATAAATATATTTTATACTATAACGTTGTTGTTGTTAATAGCTCTTCAATGTATCATAAACAAAATATAAATGTGTGCAGAGAAACACACTCTCGCATATATGTATAACAGGGCAGCATAATGACGTTCTCGGGTGCTAATATTGAAAGATCTGATAATATTGATGCAAACATCGTAAATATATATATACAACGAGGAAAAAAAATAGAAATGTTGATGATAAAAAAAGATATATATATATATATATATATATATATATATGCATGTATAGTTAACAAATCATTTATTGATGTTACTGCTCGACGGCAGAGCACATGTTGCCACTTTTCAAATACGCGTACATACAACAAGTACAGCTAGAAACATATGTTGAAAACATAAAGAAAAAAAAAAAAATAATAATAACGAACAGACAGCAGCAAACCATAAATGGATAAATAATTTTTACCCTACGGGTGGAAATCACATTTTTTGCCTTTCCTTGCTTGAAAATGTTAATGTTCAAAGCAAATTCTCATCTTTTGAATTATTAGAAGAGAAAATGTTTCTAAAAACTTTACGAATTTATTCAAAAAAAAAAAATAAATAAATAAATATATAATAAAAAAAATATCTCTCAAACATATACAAACGAACAGGCCTTCTTCGTTCTTATTTCTTCTATTTTTTTAAATTTATTTTCTCTTTTCAATGCTAGGTTATGCTATGTAATTGCGTGAGTATGCTGTTGCAATTATCAAGCCAACAAATCTATTTTCAGTTTCATCATGAGTAAACACCATCATAAAATATGTAAACAAAAAAAAGTACATATTTGTTGTTGCTTTTATAATAAGTTTTCTGTTTTTTTTTTCCTTGCTTTTTTTTTTTTTTGGCAACAAGTAACAACAGCTTCCCTTATGCACACTTTTAAGTTATGAATGGGAATGAGGGAAAAAAAGAAGGAAAAGAGAAAAAAAAAAACAAACGAAAATAATCTCAACTCAGGCAGACACACAAACACCGCAAAATAAGTAAACACCAATCCTTGAACTTGTGCAAAAACCATACAATATATATGTTTACATGTAAATCTACCGTACTTCTGTATTCATATTTACACGCATACTCATAAAAATATTACAAATGAAAATTTTCTTAACGAAGTGTTAAGAGCTGGCAAAGTTTTCCATTTTGTTATTGCACACATCAGCATACTCAGCAGTACCGTATTATTAGGAAGCGTGTTTTTTTTTTGCTTCTTCTTCTTCTTCTTCTTCATTTTTTTTTTTTTTTTTTTTTTTTTTAATAAATCGAAATATTATGTATATGTGTAAATATACAGCAATTTATTTATGTACATGGTATTATGTATGTTATGCTCTTCATATATTTTCATATATTTTTCTAATATTTTCTCTTCAGTGGAAAAGAGAAAAAAAGTCAAGTGAGAAAATTGACTTTGGGCCGAATTTCAAACAACCGCCTAAAAGATGAACAATGGTACAAATCCCTGATTATGTTAGAATTTATTGACAATGAACCAAAGTTCGTACATATGTCATGAATTACTTCATTACACGGATAAGAACCGCGTACAATCTATTTATTGCTCTTTAAAACACACTGCGACCATTTTCAAACATGATTTCTCGAGATCATCGAGAAGGTCAGCGGTCTGAGAATTCTCAGTCAATTTGTTGTATCTATCGTATCCACGAATGCTTGGAGGATTTTGAAATTATCGTACGTTTAAGTTCGTACTATATATTCAGCTCAGAGATAAGGATATGAAAACTGGGCATCACAACCAGAAACTGGGTGTTTTCTGGAATTTTAGTTCCCTATGTACTACACTAAAGTGAGCGTTTACTTTAAAGCTCTGGTGTTATAACCTCGTGTGGGAGGGCATTTTTCATATTAAAGAGAGTCTTACTGTACCCTTGGGTAAATTGTGAGATAGCACACTAGTTGCGAATAATAGGATACACAATCGTTTAAGGCTTGAGGTGATAATTATCTGGCAGCTTTTAACGCGACGGCTGTAAAAGCTGGAGGAAAGTAATATATTCCCCGTAAAGTGTTTAAAAGATTCTTTTGTCGCGGAGCACTTGGCCGACATTTATATTCACTTCAAACCTAACATTATGACGTGAGGAGATAAGGTTTAAGCATTACACATTATATTTATTTGGTATTCGATATTCAGCGTTAACTTAGTTTCCTTACGGTAAGGAAACTCCTTTAGTTTTATGCAGTCATTTTGCCATAGAATACCTTAACCATTAGTGAACTTAAGTCATCTTTAATCATCATTCTATTTTCTATTCTGTTCTATTTTTTAAAAGTATCCATCAGTAGGAGATTTAGAGACTTCATTAGATAACAGATTTTTATTGTCGTTCCCATTTCCATTACTGAATCTTTTGAAGGATTCTCTTCTTTTTGTTTTCTTCTTTGAACAATGATCATTTCTTTAACAAAGTTTCCTCTTAATAGAAATTGCAAAAATTATAAAAATCTTGCGCTCAGTGGTAACCAACTTGGTTGAGGCAACTTTCCAATTTGATAAGCCTGCTTAACGAGCTTGTTTCTCTGTTAAGGCAGAAGAGCGAGTACGAAGACTGGGAGGGACCAGAATATTGACATTCCTGTGAATATTTGGATTAATTGCGCATCCCAAGGCACGGGTTATCATTCGCAAGGTCTTTGGCTGCCCTTTTTTTGCAACTTAGCTCCGTTGGAGGAACAAGTTGTTCCTCATAATTAAACTTCGTAGCATTGTGCAAAAGTATTTTACTAAAAGTTACCATCAAGTTGATAAATTTAGCATATCTTCGATATAAGTTGTGTAAATTATTGCATAAAAACACATACGAAAGCACATTTTTTGCAAAAGAGGAGTATTTTCAAGAAATTTTTGCACAAATATTAAAACAAATTTTTTAACATTTATTTAGAAGGGAGACTCAGTTGGTATATGAAGCATGCAGAAAATCAGGAAATTTGCTTTGCTATGCATTTTCTTTTACTTTTTTTTTTTTTTGTGTTTTTGTAAACACAAAATATAAAACTTATGAAGATTTCCTTTTTGCAAACAACTTGATTACTGTTGCTTTCTGGAATGAATCAGAGAGTATTGGACAAAAATGTAAACGTTGCATCAGCAGCAGTACTCTTATTAGGTTTTTGACTGAGTTGTAGTTTGAAAATTGTTTTGTGCTTCTGTATTATTAAAGTTCAAAAGAACTTAAGAAAGAGCTCTGAAGAAAATAAACAGAATTTCTAGATTCGAATCTACAAAGAATTTTGTAAACATACGCAAGCTTTCGATATAATAAATTCGAGGATTTTAGATGAAAGACTTGCAACTCTCTCGCGGCCACAATAAATTTTCTAACTTAAATCACTTGAGTTGGTTTTGGATTTGGCTAAAACATTCTAAGGGAGTATTTCTATAAACGCTTTAAGGTCCCAGAAGTACAAAGGATGAAGAAAATATGTAAAAAAAGTGTATAGAGAAGAAAACGAGTTATGACCTGAATTAAAACTTTCGACACGAACGCCGTCTATATGCGGCAACCATTTGTTGGTTTAGAGCCAACCACATACGGCCAATATTTTTTGAAACCGTACCTTGCAAGCATACATTGATGGTGAAGTAAATTTCCGTTGCACTGTCGGGAAAGGGCTAAGAAAAGTACGCACAGAATGCTAACAGTTTACCGGATGCTTTGAGTATAACTGGCTTCGACACGGTAGCCGCTTATACGCACCCCGTTTGTAGCCCAAATACATCCATCAGAGCTTATTAATATTTTCCCATTTTTTAGGGCAAATGTGAACACAAGAACCTCTTTGTTGAGTGTGGCCACCGCAAGCAGACCTTATCAATGACAGAAAAAGTTAATTCGTGGAAAATTGGGGCTAAAAGTCCTGACTGAATGCACTCACATACTAATAGAAATCAAAAAGTTACATAACTCTTTGCGCAAATACCTCGAATTATGTGAGGCGCTATCTAAAAATGGTAAATTATATATTTTCGTTTGTGGAGTAGTCGATTGGTGATGAGCTGGGATAGATGTTTTTCTATCACATCTAATGGGTTACCCCCATTTTTTTGCCGAAATTAATAGGTGCTTGCAGGTATTTTGATCAGTGACATTTATTGGTGAAAATAATAAATCAATGCGAAGTATCAGTGTAGACACTGATTAAATTCGATGCTTCTGACCTTTCTCAACATTTTCCCATTTAGTCAATGGTTGCACTCAGTACATTCAGTGTACAGACACGTTAATCATGGAACGCTCAAAATTGCATACTGCTGGTCAGGCAAAAGAAAAAAAGGTTTTCCACGGCGTATTGTGATTGGCGGTGAAGGGTGGATCCACCACAACAGTCCTAAGTGCAAAAAGTTATGGGTTAGCCGAAAAGAGCCATTCAGACTGCAGCCAAAACGGAATATTCATGGCCGCACAGAGCCTCGCTGTGCATATGGTGGCAACAGTAAGGGGTAGTGTATTCCGAGCTGCTAAAACCGAATGAAAGTGTTACTGCAGATGTCTACCGACATCAATTGAAGAAATTGAACGATAGTCATTCTCTTTCATGACAACACACACGGCCACAGGTTGCAAGAGTTGGAAAATATACTCTGCTGCAGCTCGAATTGAAAAGTCTTCCGCATCCAGCATACTCATCAAACGTATTGGCTTCTGATCACCACTTGTTCAGATCGATGTAGCGCGGCTTGGTCGGCACGTGGTTTTCAAATGTTGGAAAAGTGCGAAAATGGGTCGATAATTGGATCGTTGCCAAGTCAATATTATTCTTGCGACACGGTTTCGGGAAAAACTTGTAATCAATAGCGACAAATATTTTGATTGATATATATTGTGCCTCACATATTGGTAAATAAGTCTCGGGAAAAAGTGAAGTTACTTTTGGAAAAAGCCACTTTAAAACGATGGCTGTCCGAATTTCATGTCATCGACCTCGACCCTTCGAGTATTCATTTACGCCCTACTGTAGCTTTTAATTTCAGTTTATAATTTAAATTTGTTATGTTATGCATTAAAAGTCAAATCTGTAAATAGTTACGTAGGGTAAATATTTTACAAAATGCGAGCAGTTTCACTATTACAATTGCAAGCCAATAAATAAACTCATAGGAATGCTGCAGTGTTTGTTGAAAACCAATCGTAAATAAAAGGGGAGAAATTAATCATTACTTGTACATATACTTATATGAACATGTATTACATCAAAGCAATTCATCTTTGCTTAAAGGTATTAACAATTGCTAACGGCTCTAAGATATAGTGGGAGATTGTGCGAACAAGGAGCGCGCTGTATAAAGAATGACGATTTAACTGCTGACGCTATTGTGAAGAAAGTAACAATATCGGGAATACCTATTTGTTCACCCCAATGTGAGGGAAACGGGATGATTAGCGAAGTAAATGACACGTTCGATTTCAAGTTAATCTTCAAGAGAGAATGCTAAGAAAGTTCGAACATAAGAGAATACATGATCTCTGAGACGAACGTTGTAGATACGGTACACGACATTGTGAACCCCAAAATTATATATGAAACATCTTATAATAACATTAATGTAGTGGTTTATCTGTGACTTTCGAAGAAGAAGTGGGCAAGCTCAAGTTTGATATTGATTGGTATCGAGTCATCCATTTGTTGGTTTCGAAAGTGAACTTAAATAAAACACACCTATGATTGCAATATAGATCACAGTCTTGCTCAATATATTATTTCGACCTTGGATTACTTGTAGCTGCACAGCGTGCAGCAATTATTAAGGAAAAAAATTTTACAAGCAATGAGCCCAAGGTTACCTTTCTTACATGCGACATGAAGCTCGTATTTCCTTTAATGACTTCGTAAATAATAAAAAAGCCCACCTGATGTTCCTAGAGGACGTGCAAAAAAGAACTTTTGGGCGTGATTTGTGAGATGAAAATGACATTTCTCAACATGGGAAGATGAGAATGGAGTCGCTGCCGAACCATGGTAAGCATTTCTTTGTGCCAGAAATTGAAAGAATTCGGCGTGGAATACAAATGGCTTTAATGAAAAGGGGCAGCATGACATACATGACATACAAATGTATTTGGAGAAGAGTTCAATTATCCTGCTAGTTCCAAATTGCTCTATATGACTTGAAAAGTCATTGAAATTTCCTTTCGGTGGAATATTTAATTTGGGATTGCGTTGAAACATTTGCTTATATAACTCGCGAACTCTCAATGATCTTATCCATCAAAATTATTCATGTTGTTGTCGTAATAAAAGCAGATTTATATGGAAAGATGGCAAAATTAGTGTTCCAGGAGAATATTTTTAAAGACCTTCAGGGGCGATCATCTCAATGCAATCATTTTTAAATATAAACGGCATCAACATATATCTAATAGAAAAACAAATTCATGTTTACCGTTTAGGTTTTATTACATAGTAAAAATAAAGCGCTTATTTGATGACTCTGTAGATTTCTGTGATCTTACTTTTGTTGTTTTCAAAAGCAACAGGAAAATAAAAACACAAAGAAAAGTTATTTTCAATTCAACATTGGTTTGGAAGTTGTCATGGCAATTTGTTACCGTCGAAGATAACAAGACTCTCAATGTGATTGAAGGACTACTGACGATGCTGGACATTGTGGAAAATGTCAAAGGAAATCCTGAAAATTATTCTCGATAATTGAAAGGTAAAGTTGGGTAAGGGCAAGTTGAAAGTCTAAAGAAAACAAGAGAGAGCAGTCTATTCATTAACTCGTAGAAGAGAATTTGGACATGAGATAGGGGTTTTCCAAAACGAGTTGGCTCATAGTGAAGAAAGCACCGTTTTGCACAATGGAAAAATTGCATGAAAGGTAAATGGAATTGTTGCCTCAACGACTGCATTTTGCAGACGTAGCCTTTAACATTTACAATCTTCTACAAATTTCAAATCGATGGTTCAACTAATGAGGTTATGGTGAAAACTGGCATCTACTTGGAGAGCCTCGACCATTAAAGAAGTGCTCGGCAAATTCTTTCGTTAGAATATTGCAAAAAAAAAAAAAAGAAAAAAGCAAAAATATCTTTCCCCTTTTACTTAGTCCTGGGAATTAGTATCCAATGAAGTATATGAACAAACACCCAAATCATATATAATCAGGTTGATTTATGTTGAAACATTGTCATTTATTAATGTTTCGCTCTGATTTCTATACTCTTTCACAAAATTTATGAAACTGTGAGATTTTAATGTTCGCCTCACAAGTTCGTCTAAGACAAGTGTTTATTACGTTTTTTCATCATAAAGTTTTCCGTGTAATAAATTTTTACATTCATGTTTGTTAAAGGAAAAAATAACAAAAAAAAAAAAAAAAAAAAAAACGAGAAAAGCTTTTCGTTTCGCGTGTATTAAGACTGTTATAAGACTTATCTCTTGTCACATGCTAAACAAGGTTGAAAGATAAACATCAGCTATGGAATGCAATACTTGTATATAACAAGCTGCCATCGCTACATGATAGTAACTTGAACATTTTTGATTTATTTACTTTTTTGTTTGTTTCTTTTTCTTTTTTTCTTTTTTTTTTTTTTTTGAGAAAAGGCTCAGCGTAAATAATAAAATTCATCTCGCTCGCTCCCGAAAATAATCAGTTTACACACATTGTCGTTTATAGTAAATTCAAATTTTACACTCCTCTGTAAGTTTGCAAAGAGTTTATATGGAGATGGGTGTCAGTATTCCGTATGTACAAGTTGACGTTATCAGGCCAGTTCTTTGGATGCGTTCAAGTTTTCCTGAGTATATAAGTATATATGTATATGTGCCCTTATTTTACTAAATAGCAAAAGGATTTTTCACTGAAAACTTGTGTAAAGTGTATCACAAGTTTGTTAATTTATTTACAGACATTTTTGTTTGCTTTTATTATTATTGTTGTTGTTGCTGATGTTGTTGTTATTATTTTCGTAGCTCATTCACTTAAATAGTTTAGTTGTTATTTTTGGTGGAACATATACACTTTTAACAAAACGTAAAAGCAAAGATGTATAATAAAGCAGAAGAACTTACATAAAACAGCGAGCTCAACTTCGGCTATAAGTGGCGTCTGTGACATGACATTACTCGCTTCACACCTAAAGCGGGCTTTATTATCGCTTGCCTCTGCCGTAAATGTATAAATATTCTCCGACAAACGTCCCGATGTGCTATATGCATGAAAAGATAAATAGAGAGAGAGAGAGAGAGAGAGAGAAAAAAAGTTAAAAAAAAAAATTTCCAAATATTGACTTAATGTTAACGATACGGGAGAAGTTTGTTTGCCAAAAAATAAAAAAATAAAAAAAAATAAAAAAAAAATGAAAAAAAAGGGATGTGTTCTAAAATTCTAATTAAGTTTAGTTTACTAAAAACTTAATAGCAAAGAGTTTTTGTGTTAGAATACTTGAAAACTTGAAGAAACAAATAAACTAACAAGCAAGTACATAAACCAAATGAGGTTAAATTATACACATCTACACTTTGAATGGTTTAAGACTTTCCGAATGCATTAGGGGACTTAATATAAACAGGCCTCGAAAAGGGCATTTTTTTTTGATAATCTTTTAACCCTATACGACGCGTAACGGAGAAATTGATTTCCAAGTTGTTTGAGCTATGAAGAGATACTTAGTGTCTTTGGCAATCGTACGCAGTAATGTACCTTGGCAGTGTTAAGCTGGTACTTCTGTCTCACTCTATACACAATTCGGATAAAGAATTCAACCAAATCGATGTAGCGCTCGCTCGTACAGAATTAACATTTGTACCTAACTTGGTCTCATTTTCGTAAAACGTCCAAACAATGGCAAGTTTTTTAGTTTACAATTGGCATTATTGCTTTTATCCATAGAGCAATAACTTGGCATCATTGGTACAGCTATAGAGAATCGAAATAATTCCATACAAAGTCGATTCTTGATTGCACTCAACTCTGAGTGGTGGTGGTGGTGTGTGGTCACAGTACCATTGCAATTCTCTATAGAATTGATTCAGTCCCTTGTGACTCATGCAAAATTGGTAAATGATGCCAAGTTTGTGCTTGGCATTTCGAAACAATTATGCCAATAGCAAGAGAAAAGCATGCGTCATTATCAAAAAAAAGTTGGTTCGGCGGAGGCCGTATCTCGCATATGCACTTAATCAATTCAGAATTCTGCACTGATCAAGGGTCTCTGAAGCATCCTTATGGGTGTTGAATACGTTATGAAAGAAAACAAGCTAAGTATAGCCACATCCTTCAGTGATGGGTATAAAAAGCAATCAAAAAAAAAAAAAGAGAAGAAATTATAAAAGAGATGAAAAGTAAACTGATGGACGGATTATTACAATAAGAGAATTACTCGTTTTATTTAAAGAATATATGGATAAAAACACACAAATTTATAGTAATTGTTTCCGAGTTTTCTCCGCATTTCATCTGCCTATTTTTGTTTGGAAACCAAAGAAATCATATGTTTTGCGAGGGTGAAATCAGGCTAGAAATGCTAAATCTATATAAAAATTTGATGGATTTTTTGACGAACTCTATATGTGGGAGCGTCTGTTGTCTCCTATTAATATATATTCTATAAATATTTATTTATTTATTTTTGTACTGTACTGTATTACACAGCATTCTTAAGGTAAAGGACATGAGTTAAGCCATTGCAGGCAGGTGCGTCTTTTAGAATAATTTTAGACGTAAAGTACCAGCAAGCGAACGTTAAGTTTTAAATTATGACGTTATAGTAGATATAATGAATCAGCAAAGCAAACAGTAAAGATGAAGGAAACCGTATGCAATAATGTAGGCTTCAAGTATTAAAAGCAGACATAAGTCTAAGTAGCATACATATAGCTATTTATAAGGTAGTGTCTATGACAGAAGGATTCGAACAGGAACGAGTCTTATTCCCTTGGCTATGCAGTAGCCTTTGTTTAATTGGCATTTATAAAACGCCCCAAGTTGTAGTTATTTCTAGCTTAGATATAGCACGTAAATGCGTGTCAAGCAACGCACATATTTGTGCTTAACGCCTTATTTAACTTGCTTGGCATTGCCATAAAGGGATCCGTAAACTGACGTGTATAAGTTTGGGAAGGAAGGAAGTTGTCGAAGTAAGCGGTGCATTGCGACATTAAACAAGACACGTCTCAATCAACACTTAATGTGTGAGAAACAGATCCAAGATCCAAGTATAGAGTTTCGATTTGGTTACATCTTTTGTCAAAAGTTCGCAAATCGATTCATATTCAACTCCTTCGCCAACTGCCATACAATTAAATTCGGATCATAGGCGATCATTTGAGGCGAGCATTTGATTGCAGAGCACTTACTTTTATCAGATCCTATGGCATTCGAAAGAATCTCTCTTAACAAGTTTGCTTTTTGTACTCGCCATCGAAGATCAGAGGCTTATTCATATTATTGAAACGGTTTCAATATCCAGAAGGAAGCTTTAGCGATCTTATATAGTATATATATATAGATATATATATATATATACTTGATACGCATAAAATTTTGATTTCAATTAGTTATGTTCTTCCGTTCCTGTTCGTTTCTCTGTGTGTCTGTGCCAAAAATATTCGCAAAAATTTAGATATTCGCAGAAACGTTAGAAGTTCTGGTGCGCAGAAGGACGAAATCGCCCAAAGCACACGACCACCGGACAATGTAAACTAGGAACACTTTATTGTCAGTTGCAGTTGCAACACATAGAGCGATAAAAACTTTCACTTATATTTCATGTGTGAGTGATCCTATTGTAACCGCACAAAAGTAGGTCATTGTAAAGCATCAACATTTTTTTTCCTTAGCTCTCCCTTTTTTTGAGAAACAAAGCAAGTTAATGTATATAACAGATTCGGATATTGACGATTATAACTTCTTTACATGTTATTTTTTTAGCTGCCATTCCTTTGCCTTCTCATCCTAAAAGTTGCGACAGCCTCATTGTTTGTACAAAAGTTTACGAGATAAATAAGTTTTCTTATCAGTTTTTGAGGATGCTTTTTCAAGACTGTAACACAGTTTAATATAAGCTCTGCGCGTTTTTGTGAGAACTACATTCAGTGCTGCAAGTTCAACAACGAACAAATAATAATCCATTCGAGCGATAGTGGTGTCGCTTTACAAAAACGGTATACAGCTATCAGATTATGCTTTGGCTTAATAAAAGGTGTTGTGCGTTTGTGGCTTTCTCTAATACACTGACGGATAGTAAAAGTTTTGCTAAAAAGAAAAAATTAACAGTCAATTTATTTTAAAAGTAGCTGCGATACTCGAAATCTGAGTAGAAATGCTTCCTATTGGTATGGGTAGTCAGGATATAATTGTGGACTTGGGGCTAATTTTTCTACTAATTATTATATTTATATTTAAATTATATAAAAGCAGATGTAAACCAAAATTTAGATGTTATAGCGTTTATGTCGATCAATGTGTTAAATTAAAAATGTTCCGTTATTTTTCCAATGCAAGTGCACTTGAACATTTACTACATAGAAAGATCTATTTTATCCCAGATTCAAGTTTTAACATCAAATGCGAATCATTCACTATCTCCGAAACGTATTGTCGGAATCCCTTTCTAGAAACTAAAGTCCCTTTAAGATCTCTGTTCAGATATCTATTACGTAACGCTATCCTTTAAGGTTAAGCAATGGAGAAGATCAGTAGTAAAATAAATTTATTTGTGACGATCTAACCGCATGCCGAAAACATGTTATTATGACAATTACACTCAGCCCGTGTCAACTTCACGCATATAGGTTGTATCGGATCCGTGTAGTTGTTCATATATGCAAACGAGGTTAGGCATTTAAATCGATTACGTAAAACCGATTTGATAATAGCTATACCCGAACTGACAGATTGATTAATAAATGCCTGGACGCTCGCCTATTGCAGTTCCTCTGGAGTGCACGTTTAATACACTGTGTCGTTTGAATCGATTGTTTTGTAATGTTTGACATAAGAATTGTCTTGATCTTGCTATCAAAAAATCAAAGCCACTGTCAAAATATGTTTTCACTTCATTTCATAGAAGTAAAGTGCTACGACATGCATGCTATGCATGTTTGCGATGGCGTAGGGTTTCAATCGCAATTTGGTCTTGTACCGGTTGTGGGTGTGGCTCTATGCTAGTTGTGTACATGCTTTTTATCTTTTTTTCCTTCTTATTTGTTTTATTATACTTACGGTAAGTTTTAATACTAATTAATTTAAGATTTACTTTAAGTTGAGTTAAGTTGAACTCGACTGTCAAAATTTTTAGTTGAGTTTCTTGTATAAGTGGAATAAATAAATAAATAAATTTTGGCTTTTCATTCAAAATCTCTTTGTATTTTCATTTAACTAAATCGTTAATAACATGGACCTAAATAACTTTAGTCTCTTTATAATAAAGATGAAGAATTTTTTAACTAAGTTCGTTGACCATTAGCCTTATATAAGTTTTCCACTTTTTATTTTTTGCTTAATAGCTCAAGAGACAAACTAATCTGTTTGGAATTGCTTCGCTTTTTTAAGACGAAGAGATGATGTTAGCTTCTCTTGAATATTAATAGAATGTCATCAATTTTGTGTACTTGAATGCACTTCTCCCAATGCTCGGTAGTCAGTTAAGAGCCATCGTTTAGTTTATTAAAAATATAAAAAATGTACGCAATTCCTTAACATCAATTGCAGATTACACTAATGAATCAATAATCGCATAAAATTTCTATAATTATTTTTATATTCATCGCAGAAAGATGTGGGATGTAATCATTTCGTCAAAACGTTTGCGACAACCTGTCGTAAGAATGAAAGACGCCCTAAATTATATGTATTTTTGATCAGCATCATGCTCTGAATTGATTTAAGCCTGTCCGTCCATCTGTCCATTTGTGTGTCTTCGTAATTGTATAGCATCTATGGCAAACTTTCTCCCAATTCGCAAAAATAAAGATATCGCCTGCAAACTTGCCAAAGGATTTTAAAATCATCCAAACTGGCCGACGATGCGGTAAACACTCGCGACTCGCTTATCGCCTCTTCGCTTATTACTCATAAACTGCAGGAGGTATGCGATATAAATTTTAGTTTTTATTCTACAAAAATAGGAAAAATCAGCCAAACCCATGAAAATTTACTTGTCCCCACTTTTTTTTTTTTTTTGTCTTTTTCAGTGATGGGCATAAAAGATTCGGTCAGAGCCGAATATAATTTTATTTTTATTTCTCTAATTCATTATCAACTTACCGATAAGCCATACGTATCTGGGAACCATTTTTATACCATATTAGTTGAGCAGGTGGATTACCACCACGACTATTGCATATCAATTCCACAGTTTGGCCGCGTCTCAATGTCTCGCCCTGAGTGTAGCCTTGTATGTATGGTGGTCCTGGGGGATCTGCGGGTAAAAAAAAAAAAAAAAACCAATTAAGAGCGATAACATTTTAATTTATTAAATTAATGTTTGTATGATGATTGTTACTATTGTATGTACAGTGTAAATGTTTACAAAAAAAAAAAAACAACACCGTCAACTATAATGTAATAAAAAAACATATACATATACATATATATATATATAATCAAAAATTATTTACATCAAGTTCAATTAGGGTATAATTACGTTGTCGTTATTGTAGTTATAGTCAAACCTTTGTCAATACCCGGCAGAATTTACATTACATCGTAATCACACATGCGTGCAAATATGCATAACCAACTGCTCGCTACACATATATATATATTGATATGTATGTAAAGTGTCTCCAAAAGGCCTAATGGGATTTTTCCAGCATCTGTTGTCACATTTGAATGGCCTCATAACGTGGCAGGATAGATGGGAGACTAGTGGGTGGCCAATTGTTGGCCAGGTTAGTGTGAATTTATTTGTTACCTTTCGCCTCGGGCATAAATTTGCAAATTTATTAAAATTCAGTCACCGAGATATCATTTCAAAAATTGTTGTGATAGTTACTGTTATTATCGCTTACAACCGCATTGGCACACATTCAAACTCACTCGCCCATGGTTAAATAAATATGACAGTAATTTAATGGACAGCAAAACAGTAATTTCTTCTTTTTTTTTTTTTTTTTTTTGTCTCTTTCAACTTTTGCTATAAATTTTGTTGTTTCATTATTATTGTTGTAATTTTATTTCAATTAAATATATATATTTATATATATATGCGTAGATACGCACGCATTACTTGCATTACTTATGCTACGTATATGTTAGGATGATTTTCTCATATATAGGTATGAAGGAAACCGCAAAATGACCACAATTAGAGGATTTCCGATGATTGTGAATTAAAAATTTGTTAAAATTTCATAATTGTCCGGCATGTTATGGAGACAAAATTGTAAACATTTTAAACTATTACCGTATATGAAAAACGCTTAGAGTAATGTAAATTGCAGACGACAGATGTTATATGGGACATATGGGGCAATGGAGCAATGAATGAGCACCTGCATGTATCTCGCTGTTTACTGCACGTACACTTATTACGGTGAATTTATTATAATTGAATTTATCTACCAACGTCGCCACGGACACAACCGCCGTTACCCGTTACTAGTAACATGCATCCTAAGCGCACAAATCGGCCGCAATCGGCAACCATTTCAAATTGAATTTGTTGCATAGCAATGCTTTCGCAATAAATATCACGAAAATTATGACTACGTCTGTAATTTGAAATTTTACTTGTAAATATCAATGACATGATAGGGTATATAAATCTGCTTGTGTGCCCCGGTAACTATGCAACGATGCAAACACATGTATTCTACGTAGATTAGAGAACGCATAAGCATAAATTATTTAAAGTCAATTTTTTTTTTTTTCTTTTTTTTTTTAGTAATAATCAAACGTATTAAGAGTGAAGTTAGTTAGAGGATTCATATTCAAAAACGATATAAAATTTTTGTATAAATTTTCACAATATTCATAGTATAGATAGATATGTACACAGAGGAGTTTGGAAACCTAAATATAAGCAAGTTTTAAAAAGTTCAATTATCCCAGGGGTACACAAAGTGAGAGGTATTGAGTTGAAAACCCTAAATTTATGCCAAAATTATTCGCTGCTTATCTTTTTTTTTTTGTTGTTTTTTTTTTTTTTGTTTTACAACCATAATAAAAACTCTCCGGACAGCAGTGTAATAAATGGGATATTATTAGAGAAACCATTTTTTATCACTTAGAGGTTTGACAAGTTGGACAACCACCAACCAACCAACCAACCAACGTTGAATGGAAAACTAATATGCATTAATAAAACGTGAGCTTTTAATTGATTACATCTTTACGTCAATTATTGCTTATCATTCAACATTAAAAAGTCTCGATGGGAATAAAAGGAACCCGAACAGAGAGATTAAATCTTTTTATAGCAAATTTAAAATTTATTTCACAAAAACAATAAAAAGACGATAAAAGACTAAGATAATGGACAACTGTTTAGGGATTTCATTAAATAACGGTATACACGTTTTACAAAATGGCAGTGGGGTATAGCGTTGCGTATCATTTGCTCTTTCAAGTGTTAATGTAACTTTCTGAATCTAGTTGACTAGCGACGATGAAAGGGCTAAAGCCTTTTAGGTAAACTGTTACGGGAATTAGAAAATAACCTTTGAATCTACAATTAAAAGAGTTATTGTATTTTGTCTCATCAATTTTATGTAATGCAAAAATGAATAAATAGCAAATCTCCCGATAATTCTATCGATTACTTTGAAAGCTTTTGCATATTTATGTCAAGATCTTTGCTTTTTAGTGTGAAAGTCAGATGCTTGCTCTCTGTGCTGCCTCAGATATACGATGTTGAAAAACATCGTATGTTCTATGAGGCTTCGCAGAGTATCTTTTTAATTGGTATGCAATTTTCGATGAGATAATCACGATACATATTTATTTCGGTGTTTAGTTTGCAAACATTCGTAAAATTATTATAAGTGTAGCTTGTTACCATCTGCTTAAAACATTAAAGCCTCCACTTTTTCTTATTTGGCTCTTTGTTTTTTTTTATCTTATGGTACATGAATATAAGAAGTTTGTGCGGACGTATGCAGGACCGTGTGCCGGTCGTGTGCTTTTATGTTCAACCTACTACAACCTACCTGCTAACTTTCGATGGAGTTTGGCAGATTCACGAGCATTTTCAGAAAGATTTGTATTCCGTATCACTTTTGGCGTATGATTACACCAAGTTTGAGCGGATATATGCAATACACAGAAGAACTTGACGATCGATTCAGAATTACTTTTTGAATCTTGTCGGTCAATGTGTCCGTCGTCTTATGTTCAATTTATAGGCCGCAATTTTTTAGATATCTGTTGATAGAACTTAGTACACCGGCGCTCAAAGGCGATAGCAATTAAAAACGACTCGGATCGGACCACTTTTTGACCCCTTCCTATATAAAGCCTTAATTTGAAAAATCGCTACATAAAGGTGGTAGGCTGGCGTAGGGTATTTAAAGGTGCAACCCCGGCCCACTGTACCATGTTGACTGGTTATAAATAAAATGCATATTTAAGTTATTTATAGCCGTTAGGTTTTTACCGGAGACGGTTAGTTATTTTGACGGTACAATTTTCACAGATTTTCGTTTATAATTTCGTATTAATTATTTTGGGTTAAATTGTCGTTGTTCAGCATTATTATGGAGACAATTCAAATAGTTTGGTAAATGATGCGTAATTAATTTTAAAACGTGTACGATTGGCATTTATACCAATTTTGCATTCGATCCCCTTAGCACAGAGCACATAGCATGTGTTTGCCCATATGAAAGAGTTTGCATGCAAAATGCATGCATAAGCTTTCGGAAAGGCAGTTAGTCGATTTTCAATGGTTAGTGGCAGGACGTTACATACATGCGAGCACTCATAGGCGTGCATGTATACCTTCAAGCAAATTTATGTTGCACTAAATGTATATGAAAGGAGGCTCTTTTCAAATAAATTTCTAATTAATATTATTTTTATAAATGGAAAGAGTTCAAAGTAGTACGGGAGAGGAGAGAACTTTTCATCCAACAAATAAATCATAATGAAATAGAAATTCAAAAAAAAAATAAAATAGAAAAAAATAAAATAAAAAATACCCATAAATAATGCTTAAAAACCTGCTAAGCAAGAAATTTTTAATTAAAGAAAAAAAGAAAAAATTTTCATATGATGAGTATATCCAAGTAATAAATTAAATTATTTAAAACATATTATATTGTGGCTTAGTTATTAGCTTAAATGTTGAAAATGTTTTAAATCCATTATATATTTTTCCTTTTTCAAAGATAGAGAAACAAAAGTGGGAGCGAGAAAGAGAGTAAAAATATTGTTATACATATTTAATGTTTTTTTTTTTTTTTTTTGCAGTTTTACCTAAAAATTATGCAAAACTAGTTTTAATGGTTTGTGTTATTTTGTAACTCGATTTAAATTAACACAAATGTACGCAAATGTGTACATGTGTAAAGCTTGAAAAGACTGAAATCGTTTCCCTTCCTTTCTCTCTCTCTCACGCTCGCTCTCTCCCCTTGCACATGAATGTTTGGTCAAAGTATAATGTGCCAAAGCATTTATTATTATATTTGAAATATGCAAATTTTCTCACTAGCACCGAGTTTGCTTAATAAACGCTAAATCCCAAATTATTAAAATACAAAACTCATCAGCATGTGAACGCATACGTAGCCATGTAGTAAAAGTAAAAATAAACAATACTTGCATACATGTTGTAAAAAAAGTAGTGGGAATCTTGTGTCTTCAAAATCCCCACTTTAAGGGTAAAAATTAACACACAAACGCATGTAATACGATTTGCGGATGAAAAGAACTTATGTTAATGCAGACCGAACTAACTCTTACACCTTAGGTGTCGCTTATACAAAAATCGTAGAAAGAAAAGGTCCTTCAAATTCAATATATTCAAGACAACTTGCTAATCGAAAACTTTCGATATTTTATCAAGAAGATAAGCTTAGACAAGAGAAAAGTCATTGGAAATATGCATTGCTTTTGCCGGTCATCCAAGTCGTTTATTGAAAGAAAAATCAGTCAACTAAGAGGTATGGTGTCTGAGAATCATCTTGTACGCTCGCAGGTGATAGCTCGTAATGTTAATTGATCTTCTGGAGCATAGTACGCGACGCATTGCATCTTGCTCATTCATTTGATTCCCTTAAGCTGGCAGATGTTTGCCCGGAATCTTAGTTTCACCTTAAGCATAACAAGTGATGTACTTCGTCTTGATTCTCTTAAGCTAGCAGTTGATAGCTTATAATGTAAATCATGTAGTTAATCTTGTCCTTTCATTCTATTCCACTCTTACCGATTTTCTTTTCTCTTTTAACGAGGAACTCGGCTTAAGTGAAGGGCTAAGCATAGACTCTTGAGGCTTTCATCTTCTTCTAAGATTATCAGTAGAAGAAGTTAAGTCAAGTGGAAATTTGAGGAAAGAACTCGAAGGTTTAGTGGAAAAAGCCGCCACACACGCATCCATGACTTTTTTAAGCGTAAGTCTATAATCAAGCCGGGCAAATTTTACAAAGACACCGTATAAAGCTCACCTATTTTACTTGAAGTTTAATCTTCGCTATTCCAGTATTATCAAGAGTACAAACTGTCAACGTTATTGGGCTCAATACTTTATAGATAACTTATTATGCGCTTAGACATGTAAATGTATATAAACACATGTACAGATATATATATATATATATATATATAATTTTTGTACATTTGCACGTCTACGTTTATAATTTCAATTGTTATATTGTCATAAAATTTCACTTACACAAAACGGACAGTTGCACGATGGAGCGCATGGGCATGTCAGGCGCCAAAGCCTTATGCTTTGCTTGGCATGTATATTCCGTGTAATCATCAGCGGCTGTTGGTTTCAGTTTAAGATTAGAGGTGGTAGTAAAACGCTTTGGTGTGATTTCCTCTACTTTGTCGTTACGGTTATCTGAAGAGAGAAAGGAAAAAAATAATATAAAGTCAGAGATTTTAAATGATTTATATATTTGGCAGTAGTGGTAGAAGACATTGTTTTCTCCTCACTTATATTTAAGCCCGCTCATGCATATATATATATATATATATATATAAATTATGAAATAATAATAAACTTCATATACATACACACAAACTGACTTTATTATACGATTCATTTTTTGGCACAACTGATGGAGTGACAGTGAAGTTGCGGAAAGAAACAAAAAAAAAAAAAATAGAAAAAAATTTACACTTGACTTGAGTCGAATTTTTGCATGCTTACTACCTAGATAGCTAGGATCCATAACAGAATTACCGGCAAAAAGATAATCTTTCTTTTGAAAAGTTTCAGAGTTAGACAAACGTAAGTAGACGTAGGGCGATTTCTACTTAACCATAAGGTAAATAGAACGAAAGCAACCAAGAATTTGACCTAAGAGGAGCATATTTCGTTTAAGACGATGCTTGGAGTACTGATTTCTGTCATTTTTATTAGTTTCAAGGGCACAACATTTACTTGACCACAGGATGAGTAGCGCGTGCATACGTGTAGTTTGCGCTCCATACGTGTACATCCGTTTATCTATATAATTTTTCGCCGGTCCGATAACACTTTCCACCATATTTATCGTCTTCTTTAGACGCGTTAGAACATCAGATTGTTCGTCCATACGTCTCTTTCGCACCGCCAATTGCCCATTCACAAATTGTACTATAATAGATTCATTCGAAGTGTTGGCACAATACACATAAAAGTCCCTACAATCCCTGTCGTTAATACAATCAGCGATTGGACAGACCAAACACTTGCAATTCGTTTCGAAAATATTGAAATCTTTCAAATATTTTTCTTTGTGTTACATAAAGTACTTCAAACTTAAATGATTTTCAAGTGAATTGTTAAAAGAAAATCTAAAAAGTGCCAGCGACCAAATCATTTTTACGTACACTTATATACTCCGCTTCTCTTCTGTACGCTGAAGTATTAAATAAAAAAAAGGGATTTTCTACTTAATACTCTTTGCTGACGGTTTTATTCATAAATTAGAAATTATGGCAGCTTTTGTTAAATTTTACTAAATAAATTTTATAATCAAATAATTTAACAATTTCACACACTTGCCAGAAACATTAAAAACCGTAAAGAACGTAAAAAGTGTCAGAGAGTCAAAAGAAGGGGTGTTACCAAACTGAAAACCATTTATTAAGTTAAAATGCTTCTGCTATTAATATGAAGGCTCAATTTCATCTACAGCGAAAGATTTCAATTTCAAATTCATCAACCAACACAGCACCAGTCACATCCTCTTCGCAATATTAAATTACTTTAGCGTATACTTCGTGTACAAGAAATTTTTCACTTCACATCTAAGTAACACTAATATGTATGGAGGACTTGTTGACATTCACAAAAGTATCTGAAACTCTAAAGAAATTTGTAAACTTAATAACAAATAACGTAAAAACATACATACATACACATACACACACACACACACACACACACACACACACACACACTCACAGGCTCATATGATCACACATATAATAATTTTTTCATTTTAACTCTCGCTTTAGTGAGTTTCAAGGAAAACGGAATTTTTCATATAACAAAAGAATACTTGTCATACAAAGCCATAAGTCTGTGTATTATAGTAAACGCGAGTCGTATGAGTGATATTTTTTATATAAGGGAAAATTTAGTATACGTATAGGGAGATACATCGCATGTATAATCGCATAAATAAAAGATTTCAAATTTGATGCGAGCATGTCGAACGTGTCAGAAGTTAATTTAATTGAATTACTTTCAAATTGAAGAAGCGAGACAGAAAGAGACAGAAAGAGAGAGAGAGAAAGAGAATACATTGAAGAGAAAGCATAATGAAAACAAAGAAATTAATTTTATTTAAAATTATTTAAAATTTGAAATTATTAATTAATAAAATTTCATATTCAAAGAGTAAAAATTAATATCTAAATAAGCACCGTCTCGTATTAGCTATTATTCGATGATGTCTGTAGGGCTGCTGCTGTCAGTTTCTGGTGAAGCTTCAAGAATATTTCAATTATTTATACAATGTATATATAGGAATCAAATATATTCTGGAAAACAATAAACTTAATTGCAAAACCACATACTAACTAAAACTAACTAAAATAAGCACAACTATTACTGTAAAGTAGTAAGAGTTCTGCTTACAAAGTAGAAAAGTTTTAAAGAACAATTTTTTTTCATTACTCGAAATTCTTCTTACTTCTGATTGTGGTTTAGATTGTAAGGGTACGTGACTTGTGCATCAAATCACTGAGATAAATAAGACAAATGCATGTCTAATCTATTTTACGTCATGTTAATATGAAACTAAAGAACTTAACTGACATTTATGACTAAAGGACAATATCAAAGATCTTGGATTGCGTAGAAAAGTTAATTAACTTCCAGAAAAGATTTTGTTTTAAAAAAAGAAGTTTCTAACAGCTAATCGCACGCATACTACATCCGCTTTATACAATTGAGGATAGCATTCCATAGTAGAGAGAATAGCAAAATTATTATACCTTCGTGTTGGAGTCGTTAGCGAAGAAAAAAAAAAGTTAAGTTTTTACAAATTATTTTTGTTTTCAAGGGTCAACGAAGTAAATGTCCGCGAACAAGAATTAGTAACAATGCGATTATGCGATTACTAGTAGCGTCGCGATATAAGCAAATCTTGAGAAAGAGAATGTTGATGATATTGCCATGGTTACTGAGAAAGAAGCGATTAGAGATGACTCGATTGTTATATTAACGACATATCTCAACTGACAAATAACTTAGTAAAAGCTGAAAGAACTCCAATATATTCATAACGAATCTGAATATTTTATGTGATGCACAAATTTTACCCTCCGTACGTACATATAAAAATGTGTATTTATGTATGTATATACGCATATAACATTTAGTCAGTTCGTAGGACAACAAATAGACGTCACCGCTATTGACGAATTCATGTTAATGAGGCTACGTTTGTCTTTCAAAACAATGGAAAAATCAGAATTTCGTGTGTAGCGTCACTTAAGCATCTATGATTTGCAAACTAATCCTCGGAATGTCATGAAATTTTGACAGAATTCGTTTGAAGAACGATGCTGTCTAAAGACAATATGGATTCGCTAATAGTGATCATATGTCTGCACGTTATTCTATGAGTTATTTATATATAATATTACCAACTAACAACTAATACAAACAAAAGTATATCGGGTGTATAGCTTCAGTTTAGATGTTCTCGTTGCGTTTTCACTCGACCGTCTATAATTCATTACAAATAACTTTTTAAGTTATTACTTGACGAAAATTATATTTTTCAACTTTAGTTTTTGTTCACTTCCTTCCGCAAACGGTAGATCTGTACAGTCGAGGCTTAACCGCAGTCATTGTTGAGTTTTAGTTGTTTGTTTCCATCGCATCAAAAGCGAACAAAGGGTTAAAATGAGTTTAAGGGTTTAATCGCTCATCGACCTCATATTTGACAGAGACATATAAAGTTCTTGGACGTGGGTTGATATTAAAAATGGGCCAAATCCAACACGGGGCACGCCCAGAGGAGGCAGTTAACTGAAAGCACCTCTATTATGTATTGATGTTACTATGCTGAAAAGCATGCTTCCCCAGCAGAATAAAGCTTTCTTAGTTGTTTTAAATAAAGCTGTTGTATATTAACAAAAGCATTTAGTGAGCTATGCCGAGAAATTCTTGAAGATATGATAGACAATTTTGGAAATCATTAGACCTCACAAGATTCGATCACCTGTGTATAACTCGTCGTTAGAACACCTAAGTTGAACAATTAAACAAGTTATAGTGGGGCCAAGGACCGATCTTATATGCGAAGTGGTTCAAGATGTGGTCTGATCCGAACCATTTTCAGTAATGTTTGTCCTTGGGCCACAACGGTTCGGTCTATTAAATGTCATCAAATTATCTGAACAGCTCCGACTTGTTAGTTGAACGCAAGAATACAAGGCGGACAGACGGACGGATACACAGGCAGACAAACCAGCTTAGATCAATTATGAAAATATGGATCTATCTCATGTCTTTCTGCCTGCTGCATACGTCTGCGCAGACTGAATATATCCCTGCACCACAAGGAGTTATAAAAACATTTAATAATACCAATAGGAGTAGGGTGTAGCTTAACGTCGACGTAACATTTTGCATAGCTTATGATGAAGTTCCAAAGTAAACGTAATCGTCTTACTTAAACTTAACCCACAATTAACAAAAAGCTTTGTTACTTTTTTTAATGTTTGCTTGATATAATGGATGTCCAAGTTTTGCTGTCACGAACACTCCCTTACGAGGTGTAGTAAAATCCGCTATAATTTCTAAAATTGCAAACTTTTTTTTTTTTGAAGTTGTTTCTACAACCACAAGTTAGTTGATGAAGAACAATGATTCTATTTATTTTTATCTCAAGTTACGGGAATTAATTACGCCTTTCATTTCATCTCTTTAATGCAATTATAAGGAATTTTGAGTTGGAAAAATATATAGAGCGAATAAGCTTACAAATCCCCAATATCGAATCAGTTACGAATTTTTTTTAAAGCAATTCCTTCACTCTTTTCTTTCAAGCTTCTTTGCGATTAGCTGCAGCACTATTCTTATGAGTTGATATGAACTTTTCTTTAAGATCCTCCTCCTTCCTCTTATATCTCTGCTGACATTTTTTGATCTGTTGACAGCGTGACAGTGAAATCATCTATTCCACCTCCTCCTATAGATTTTGCAACACCAAATACGCCTCATTTTAATATCTTATGACGAAAATTTATTGCGACAAATAAATTTACTGCGGTTACCTTTTGTTTTTTTTCATATGATCAATCACTCAGAGGATGTCTCCTATTCGTTTAATACGTTGACCATTAGAAAGAAGAGAGGAAAGACAACGAAATAGGGAGGTGGTGGCCGTAGCCTTATTGATGTGCCCAATGCCTTTATCGGCTGAACACTCACTATAGGACTGCGTCCAAGCAAAACTCTATACCACTTGAGATTTGAATCCGCGAACATTGATTTCCTAGTTGCGGTTCTTACCTACCTGGCTACTCAGGCGGATCAATTTGAATTATATAAGTTTATTTTTTTGATCATTAGTCCCATGAGAAGTAAGACCTACTAAAACCCAAAAGTCGAAATTTTTACTATTTTAAGATGGATATCAGTGAAGAGTATTTAATAGATGTGCGGCATTTGACAGTCGTCCTGCCCGACCAAAGGCGATTTCAACCGGCTAATGAGGAATAAACTTTTGAACTTGTATTAAATAAAATGAACTAAGAAGATCATTGTGCTCTCAGCTTGCGGTTGATAGGTAACAATAAAATGTTAATAAAAATAAATATTTTTATCAAATCTGCAATAAAGGAGCGCAAAATAAATTTATGTAATGACGTAGAGTATTAAGTGGACGACTATCATTTACTTGAATTGAATTCCTCTTCGTTTTCTAGTTTTCATTATTTTACTGCGGACGCAAAATATGAAAACAAAAACAAAAATATTCATTCAAAAGTTTTGATAAGAGATAAAAGGGAAAAATTACTTTTGTTGTTATTATGCTTTAGTTTTTGTTGATTTTCGCAGTTTCATCTTTTAATTTCGCTGAATATCTGGTGGTGATGTTGCTGCCGAAATTCCGCTGATAAGTTTTAAAGACATTTAGGTTATTAATAATGAGGCACATTATCAGACCTACATTGTTTTAATATTACGCTTTCTCTCTCTCTCTCTCTCTCTCTCTCCCTCTTTCTTTCTTTCTCCCTTTCTATCTCATTTTAACCATCGTGTGCGCGTTACACCGAGAACATAAAGAACAAAATTAATGTTTAGCGATAGTTTTTGTCAGCTTCATTTGCACCAATGCTGCTACTCTACACATTTACAATAAATTTGTATGTGTATGCGGCAGGACAAATAAAGTTTGTATGCTGCTTTACCATGACCAACTGCAACCCTTTATCTCTTATACAATGTTGGTTTACTTGTCAGGAAAATGTTTTCGAACAAAAATCTACACACACACATATACATGCATTCGTGTAAATTCTGACAAAAAAAAAAATAAATAAATAAAAAAATAAATAGATAAATAAAAAATAAACGGTTAGCAAAAAAGAAGAATAAAATTTTTATAACGAGAATTATGACTCCAGGTTTTGTCAAACACATACTATGTTACACATATATATATATAACGAATTAAACTCTCCTGCTAGAGTATCTCAGTTTGTATACACAGATAAAGATAAAGGTAAACTTTTGCTGAGAACATTTCATTTAATAGCTTTCAATTAGGATGATGATTTTTAACTGTGTACTTTTGCCATGAGAAAAAAATGAAGTGCATTTTTTTTTTCTCTTTTTTTTTCATTTATTTTTTTTTTTTATTTTTTTTTTTTTTTTTTTTTTTTTGCTGGTAGTTTTTATCTTTTTTTTATTTATTTATTTATTTTTTGTTTTTTAATTTTCCTTTCTTTCTCTTTTCACTCGGTAAATTCTATAGGTTTCATATTTATCAAGAGAAAGGTCATAAAGTGACAAAAGGGGGAAAAAAGAAATGATAAGACCCTACGATAAACGAAAGCAGTGCATAAGAAATTATATCAACTCAGAAATTTCAATCAAATTGAATTTGTATTTATTCAAGAAATTGATTGATTGAAAACAAAAAGAAAGCAATAGCAAGCAAAAGAAAAAAAGGAAAAGGATAATTGTGTTTAGCATAAAAAGGAAGCAAAACTTGATTTTATTCAGGACATTGGAAATTTTATTATTATGAATTTTTTTGTTTGTTTAAATTTTTCTTCTCTTCATCTACTCTCTGATTGGTTTTCTCCTCATATATGTTAAATATATAACATTTTTGCGTTCATCACCTAAGGTCAATATGACAGACAAGTCGGGCTTTTTTGCTGGCTGGTCTGATCTTTTACCAATGAAAAATGTTGATGTTATCATTTTAAGTATTCTTCGTAATATATTTGAGATTGATAGCTGGCGTAATTTGTAATCATCGCCTACGAAAATGCATTGCGTATACATTTAAAAGAATACCAGTAACTTTTTGTTCTTATTTCCAAAAAAAAAAAAATGGTCGTTAGTCATTTTCTCAGTTCAGCGTCTGAGTAGATAAAACTAATATCCGCTGTGAGTTTAATTCAAATTTTTTGTATTTTCGAAAAAAAAAAAGATGAAAATCAAAGAAACTGAAGTTTTACCGAAGCAATGTCAAATTAGTTTGGTCCGCGTTTTCGTGTTCAAAAATGCATTCATTTCGGAAAAAAATAAACGAACACATTAATGGAACTATCTTGCCTCGCTGGCTAGCATCTTTTTCTATCTTTCAGATAATTCCGGGCCGTCAGGAAAAAGCGTCTCCTCCTTTAAATGATCCGGGTAAAGAGCCAACATCAGAACAACCACTAACCAGCAAGAGCAATGTCAGGAGAATACGGCTCCTAAGATTTGACCTTCGAACCACGAAAATTCGGGTTTGGCGTGATGTTGAGGTCAATGGCAACGATTAACCGGAAATAGCGTAGTATGCTTCACGGTCAAGGGATTGACGTAGAATATCCACTTGTCATTCCCAGCCGCATTTCGATTTAATCCGCAAAAATAAAGCTTCCTTTGTTGACTTTGAATCGACTGCTAGCAAGAGATAAACCGCGCTACAATGTCTCTTGGTTTCAATTCAAATGCTGCTGGCTCGTGTTGCCCATGACTCGAACCTTCATTAGGTAATGCCCCCAACGCCTCTTTTGCCTGCCGTGAACAGCCGAACTTGTTTCCAACGCTGAGTTCACTCTTCCTAAAACGTCGAAAGCATTGCCTAGATGATTTATTACTTGGAACCAAGTCGCTATAATCTTTGGCAAGCATTCGATGTGCTTCAGATTCACTTTAGTTCCAGTTAAAGGTAAAAGCTAACACCTGCTGCAAATGTTGTTTAGTTAACACGAAACATAACATATTCAGCGCAGTAAAAGGCAAAAGTCTTTTGCATGGACCTTAAAGCGATATAAACTCGACATTATTGACAGATGCATAACATAGGTCAGCTCTCATTTTGAGACGATCACAGCAATCAAAGCAATGTTTTGAAAACAGAACGGGATAGTTTGTACGTCCATTCTAAATGTATATCATATTTTCGGACAGCCCCATACTAGTTATTGCAGGAAAGTTCTTCTGTACTACTGGCTACTGTATTCTCATGAGCAATTGTGAGGAGAACTGGTACTCAAATAATTACATCCCAATTTTTTTTGGAAATTTAACGAACCGAAATGTATATTTTCAAATAAGACGCTTCTAGTTTATACAAGACAAACTCTTTCCTGAATTCAGCAAAGTTTCAAGCAGACTAAGGATAGGGATATTGTCTCCACTATGTCTAATCAAAGATGTGAGAAAAATGCAGAAAACTAATAATCGCTTATGTCTACTCTCAAGCATTCGCCAAAAAAAAAATAATTTCGCCTAAAGTTCGGAAAGAGTAAAAATTTCACTTACCTATTTTGTATTCCACATTATTGCGGAACCAAATAATTTGGGCGGCTGGTTTTGAGTTTGCTACAATACATTTCAGGGTCAAATCTTGATTTTCTCGCACCTCCACTTTGGCATTATTGCTATAACCTTGAATTTCAATCGAAGACGGCGGAGCTGAAATGAAAGAAAAAACAAAAAATAAATAAAATTTTCGATTGAAATAAAGCAAAACAAAAAACTTTTCAAATTAATATATTTTTGTTGAAGAGTTATTACGAAGGAAATTGATATGTGTAGTAGTAATAACAATGAAAATAATGCGATAAAATTATATGGAATATTTATATATGTATATGCAATATTCGTTTTAAAAACCCGTTATATAACTTTAATATTTAAAAGGCGGCAATAAATTATGGAAAGCAAAATTATTTCCTTTTAGCGAATTATATTAAAATAAAATTCTTTGCCTTATGCGTTTTAAATGGCAAAGAGCGAATAATCTGCATATGAAAATTTCATTTCCGTTGTATAAAGATTTTTCAATTGATGTGTGATCGTAAAACTCAAGGCGCAGCTAAGATGAGTATCTAAGATTTATCATAACTCTAGTAGAATACGGCGAGACGCACAGTTAAAAATTTTGATGGGTTAAACATATAATATAATATCGCCTGTAAGTGTTTTTAACAGTTTAAAGGAGCCAGCGAGTATTATATGACAGCATTAATTGACAAGAATTTATAGAAGAAATAGATTTAGGTTAAAAGTTAAAAAACGATACACACGATAAAGAAAAATCTTTACGTGATTTATTCACTCAAAGTCAAGCACATTTTTCGTATGTTTCGCATGTACTTTTTTAAAGTAATCGCCAATAATTTACTATTTTTCTATTAAGCTACTCATTCTACCACCCTACGTGTATACCCTACACATACCATATGAACCATATGGGATTTGTATGCAAAATAATGGACAAATTTTTTTTTTTTTTTTATGTGACCAATCATTTGGGGAATGTCTTCTGTGCTTGTAACAGGATGATGATCAGAAAGAAGTGGGGGCAAACAAAGAGAAAGGAAGTGGCCGCACCCTAGTAGGGGTGCGCCCAATCGGTTAGCAATATGATTTTCCGGATTAAACAATCGCTACAGCTACGACCAAATATGCTCTGAAGTAAGCAGTGAAAGCTGATTCGATCCTTATTTACTTGGGACCTCACTGTGGATTTTCATAGGCTTGGTGTGAAGTCAGTTTTACATCGTTAAAAAAGATCTATCGCGCGATACGAATGTGAGTCGACGTAGATGCAATTAAAAATTCCGAGACAACATTCTCAACATTGGAATACTCTGTAATTATCGGCAATAGAAAATGAAATCAATCGTGTGCGGGTCAGGTTCGCGCAGCTCATTCCTACCAAAACTCACCAATGAACTCACCTTACCTTATGTGTAATTAGGCTTTGCCAACACTTGTGCAGTTTCATCCCTTCTGCATTATTCATATTTGCATACGATTACATACTTATGTAACCTTCTGATTCCGTGTAATCAATCTCTTCGAAAACAAATCAATTTTATGTTATTTCAGCAGCGATTAGCAAATGGAAAGTTGGTCTACGAAATTTTTCGCTAATAACTTGAATTTCTTTTTGTCCTCACCCCGAAGCAAATGTTTCTGGTTAATGTAGCCTTACAACAGTGTCAAGAACCAAGTAATACGAAAAATTTCATCGACTCTGTCGCATGTTTATTGATCAAGCCGAGTTTGGACATTTTCGATGAGGAAGCGAATAAAACTTTTTTATGTTTGCTGACATTGTAATAAAAGCGTATTTTTCACGATATTTGCTCATTTTCACACACTCGCTCACATTCGACAGTGTTTTATTTTAATTATCATTGGTCTGCTACCTTTGAAATGTGCCCAAGTAATGCTTAATACGATTAGTATTGCCAAAGCTAAACGACTCTAAAGGCATCTATTGCGTAAAGCACCACAAAGTTCCAAAAATCCCTTACCAATTACAAAGATTGACTTTTAATAAGATTCGAAATAAATTGCTAAGGTTTTACTCTAGTATCTCTTACATACTCCACAGAATATAGTTTGCATATGCAAGTGGATATCTAGCATTATTCTCGCATAATTAAAGTCATATTAATTCTTATTTATGTGTGGATCAACAATACAACAACAATAATAATTCATAAGATATCAATTAACCGAATAATATGCGTTTCAGAACGAACTCTAGATACCCATCACTTGGGTTAAAAGTTACACAAATCTTCTGTTGCACGCAAAGGATGCAATGCTTCAAAGTTTCAACTTTACAAAGAAAGCCGATACAATCGTTTGACGTTAACACAACGGCGTCCAATGCAAACTCTTGGCTCTTGGTTACGTAAAAGAAATGAATTTCGTTTTCATTCTACTTAGCATCCAAGGTTGCCACCTCCAGTATAAATGTATTAATGGTAGGATTTTCAATCGATATCTAATATCGTTTCAAACCAGAGAGTATTTGTAGTCTACGAAACGGGCCTCCAAATATACAGACGTTATTATTAGATGAGAAAATTTATTAAAAAACTTAAAAAGACCGAAATACTTTATCTTATGACTTCGCTGTCGAGGTAAAACATAATTTCAATCCATTTATACCATGCACTTGTGGGACAAAATCGGCCAAAAATAAGGACTACGTACTCTCTTTATAAATCATTACAATCGTGACGGTTATTACGACGATTATTAAATGTTTTAACGGATGAGGAAAGGAAAGAAAAACCGAGGCTAACTTTATGTAACCATAGATTTCCCTTAATGATGGGGTCGTACGGACAGTTGCTTAAGTCATTTGATACTACATTTCAAGTGAACTGACTTTATAGACATAGAATTGTAGCTCACATGGCATTCGCCAAGAGATTTATAATTACAGTTCAACCCCCTACAGATTAAATTCAATAGTTCATTAGCAAAGCATTGTAGCCACAGCCGCAATTCACTTTCGCAGCAGAAGAGAACAATCGAACGACGCTCTTTTTCGTAAAATCGGTTGTCATATCCAGCCTCGCCAGATCTCAACCGAAAGCAAATAACGACTCATAACCCTACCTCTGGATAGCCTACTTCAAGATACTGCTACAGGCTACTAACTAATTCTATCCAACTCTGACTTAGTCTGAACATCTCCTAACCAAGCGGAAAGTATGCCAAGTCAAAAGGGAGGAGCGTTTTGACTGTACATATATATATGTATATATAAAAGTGTATAAATGAATACTTATGGCTTCTGCAAAGTTCCCTTAAGAGTAGCCCCAGCACATTTGACGAAACATTAGCGTGAAACCTACGGCTTTATCTTGCTCTTCAAACATGTATATACGTCTTAATCGATGATTTAGAACAGTTACGAACGGAATGACAAATTTATTACACATTTGTGCTAAGGCGAAAAAAAAAAAATTTCTTTCTTTTCCCTAAGTTGTTTCAAACGTAGGGTAAGTATGAGTGCATCGTACTCTATTTTAAATTTATTTCGAAAAGGATTTCAACAATTGCAACAACAACAACAACAACAACAAAAATGGAAATAATGCTATGCATTTTCTAAGGCACTACAACCATTGTATCTGCTTTGTATGTCTGCGAGAGAGATTGTTTGATTTTAGATTTGCTTTTTTTTTTTTTTTGTTGTTTGTTTCTTTTTCGTTGCTAAAAAGACTACAACAAGACTGAAGGCAAGCAGGATAGGTAAGTCACGGTGGCAACTTCTTGAGGTACTATTAAAATAATGCATACGTACTTAACTTGAACGTTTCGGTTCGTTTCGTTTGGATGTATTTGTTTTCGAATTTATGCGCACAATAAACACACACACACGCACACACGTTAATATCAGAGGCAGGTTTTAATTTCTTTAGGATTTTTTTTTTGTTTTTTTTTTGCATCTTTCCTAAACACATTTATTCACTCTAACTTCATTCAATGAATTTCAAGTATTTGAAAGGCTTTCATATACAGAAAAATAAAAAAGTGTAAAAAAAAAAAAATGTGTATAAAAAAAAAAAACCATTACAGCCAGCTGCTGTTGAATTGCAATAAAGTACCGTATTATTGTTTGCACATGTGTTGATATTTGTTTACCATAAACACACGTACAAGCTGACATACCCACACGCCCATATATTTACATATATATATATATATATATATATATATATATATATATATATATATATTCATATATATATATATCTGATATACTCAGCTTGTTTTTAGTCGCTATAATGCCATCAGAGGATGACGGCAAAGCCAAAGGACATTCAACCTGTTTCTTGTTGTTGGATTCATGCGTAAATTCATGCATATGAAATGCAAAAATATTGTTGTTGCTTTTTGTGTCTAGTGAGTGTGGAAAATCCTTTATATACAATTCAACCAACATCACCACCATTGTGATCAACATATTCATACATACTTACACAAACACACACACATACACACACCTATATATATATATGTATTCACAGGCCGCATTGGTATACACATCGCTATTCTGTTTTATTCTAAATTTTGTACGCTACAGGCGAACGCATCTATCCATACACAAACATACACACAATTAAATGCATATACACGCGAGTGTACACTGGTAGCATATACGTATATTTGTGTATAAATCTTTGTTATGCAATTGTTTTAAAGTTGGTAAGCTGTTGTTGATGAAAATGTTGTTGTTGGTTACATTTGTTGTTGTTGTTGTTTTTCTTTGGTGTGCTTTTCTAATTTCTATGACACTGTTTTTTTTTTCTCTCTCTCTTCCTCTTCCTCGTTTCCTTATATTATTTGTCGAGTAAATTATATACCCTTGCTCAGAGACAATGTTATTTTACGCCCTCATCCTTTCAACTTTAGCTGTTGTACACACACACACACACACACACACACACACACGTTAATCCTAATACAACGGCAGTTAGTTGTTAATTGTTTTATTTTATTGTGTTTTCGAAAACTGAAATTTTTCCTTGAGTTTAATATTCTGTGAGATATTTTTCTTTTATTCGAAGCAAATAACATTTCCTCATATGCAACAACAACACCTATACAAACAATAACAAAATTAAAAAATAAAGAAAACATCTCAGCTAAAAAAC